AAAATAAACTTTATTGATATCTTTCATTTTTATGTTCCACAAATTTCCCCTTGTATTCTTCTTTTTTATTCCTCCCAAAGAGTCATCCTATAAAGCACATAATTTTTTAAAAGAAAAAGATGAAGAGGGGAGGAAAGGAGCACAGCTGAATAATCCATTGAAATAATCCGACAATATTTGCAATATTCCATACCTATAGAGACCCTCACCCCTATCCTGCCACCTTTGCAAAGCAATAGGAGGAGATGTTTTCTTATGTCTTTTCTTTGGGTTAATTTAAGCTTGCTCTTTGAAATTTTGCACCATTTATTTTTTATTATTTTGTAGCTATTCTTTCCATTTACATTGTATATATTGTTTTCTGGTTCTGCTTACTTCATTCTGCATCAGTTCAGGTAGATCTTTCCATGCTTCTGTGTATTAATCATATTTATCATTTCTTACTGCATAGCAAAGGGCCATTACATTCATTTACCACAATTTGTTTAATCATTCCCCAATTGATGGGCATCTTCTTTGTTTCTACTTCTTTGCTACCTCAAAAAAAGTGCCGCTATAAATATTTTGTGTGTAGGAGGCCTTTCTTTTACAAGTAAATTACTTACTTGGAGGGTATTTACCTAACAGTAGAATCTCTGGGTCAAAGGGCATAGACCTTCTGGTCACTTTATTTGCATAGTTCCAGATTTCTTTTCAGAATGGTTGTATTAATTCACAGCTCCACCAACAATACATTAGAGTGTCTATCTTTCCACAATCTCTTCAACATGAACTATTCCCATCTTCTGTCACCTTTGCCAATTTTCTGGGTGTGAGGTGAAATTTCAGAATCGTTTTGATTTGTATTTCTTTTATTATTAGTGATCTGGAGCATTCTTTCATATGGTTGTTTATAGTTCATTAGAAAACTGTTGGCTGATATTCTTTGACCACTTATCTCTTGGCAATGGCTTTGGCCTTGTATATTTCTTTTAGTTGGTTTCTTTTCAAGAGAGAGTTTCAATACTGAAATGATTTAATTCCTTTAATATCACATGTGCTTGTTGGTCTTTGGATAAAGATCCCACATATAGATCACCACAAGTTAAATTATTTTTTTATGAATGGTCTAAAAAGTGGGTGACTTTTTACACTCCCTGTTCTTTTTTATGCAATGTTGCCACTGTTACAGCAGAAATAGAAGGAGGGTATATAGTACTGAGGACAATTTAAAATTTTTCTGTTTCATGTGTCGCCATACAGTCATAGACAAATAATTCATTCACTATCACTATTTAAGATCAAATAATGGAAACCCCAGGCCATCATGTTGAATTGGGAACCAAATTATTTTTCTTATGTGCATTCTTAACCTGATGTATCCATTTTAGATTGATCTTAATAAAGTAACTGTCCATCTATGTATCTGTCAAGCAAGTATTGGTAAATGAAAATTACTGAATGGCTGTATAAATAGCATTTGCTGGTGTTCTTCGGAAGGTCATTGTTACTGAGCTAAATTCACCCCAGTGCCTGCCTCTTCCTTATATTGACAGGCAAACTAATGCTTGTCATCAAGGGAGGCAATATTAAGGTTTTCATGCTCTTTGCATAATTCAATAGAGTAATAATTTGATGTATCATTGTATGAGTATGTTCTCAAGGTATTTAGAGAGTGACATTAATTAATGGAAGGGTACCTGATTCGTAGAAATGAGAAATGCATATCCCTAATCAATCAAGCAAGCAAACATTTATCAAGCATCAACTGTGAAACAAGCATTGTAACTTCTGTAAGTGAAGGACTCAGGCAATGGGAAAATTTTAGTTCATGAATACTATTCTTTTCAAATATTAAAATGTCACAATAGCTTATCCTAAGGAGGGCTACCTCATCAGTATTATATATAACTGTAGACAGACAAATAGATATGGATATAGCTACCGATATACAGGTTGTTAGTTGTATGACTTTGAACAAGTCAATTAAATTCTCAGCCTCAGTTTCTTTAACTCCAAGATGGGCATAATAATAGCACTTATCTCACAGGATTGTTGTGAGAATCCAAGGAGATAATATATATAAAACACTTTGCATACATAAATGTTAGCTGTTACTGTTACTAGACAGACAGACAGACAGATAGATAGATAGAAGATAGATCCATTCTGTGCTCAGAAAAATGACGACTGTTCTATCTGAATAATTTCCTAGGCATTAGGACAATCATTCCATCACACTGTCCTCCAAATATGTCTTGCTAATTCCCAGGTCTTGGACTTTGACCATCCTGTTCTTATCCCTGGAATTCCTTCTCCTTCCTCCCCACATATTTAAATCCTAGCTCTTCTCTGAAACCCAATGGCAGTGCAGGGAATATGGGTGGTAGTGGACTTAGAAGGCTCAAGGTGAAAGAAAGGACTGGTAGAAACAGGGTAGAAGTGGGAAATATTTGTGGGAATCAGGAGTGTGAAAGTACTTAGAAACTGGTAAAGCTGGGAAGCCAGGTGAGTAGTCCAGCCAGTATGCAATAGGTGAGCAAGAGTCAAAGGGCACAATGGACTGTGTTCTCAACATAGCAATAGTACAAAGAGTCATCCAATGAGGAAACTAGAAATATAAAGAGATTTTCCAGAGGACAGTGGGTCAGAGACTGGAGATGATCATCAGGAACCAGGAAATTCATAGTAACCTGAAGAGCAAGGAAAGCAAGGCAGTTAGGAGAACCCAAATGAGACGTGAGCAACAAGGAGACCTTTATACAGAGAAAACTTGGGGCCAGAGCCAGAAAGCTTCTTCTCCTGCTCCCAGATGCTTTCCAGACTCTTTCATCTTTATTCTGCATATACTATGGACATGTGTGTGTGTGTGTGCGTGTGTGTGTTTGTGTTTCCTCTTCCCCACTCCCCATTTAAATGTAAGGTTCTTGAGAGTAGTGACTGTTTAACTTTTGTCTATAAATCCTTAGCATTGTGCCTGGCCCATCACAGGAGTTTAATACATGCTTATTACTTGATTAATTCAGGCAGCTAGGTGGTACAGTGGATTGAGTGCCGGGCCTGGAGTCAGGAAGATTCATCTCCTTTAGTTCAGATATGGCCTCAGACACTTACTAGCTGTGTGGACCTGGACAAGTCACTTAGCTCTGTTTGCCTCAGTTTCCTTATCTAATAAAATGAGCTGGAGAAGGAAATGGTAAAACACTCCAGTATCTTTGCCAAGAAAACTCCAAATGGGGTTACAAAGAATTGAGCATTACTGAAAAGACTGAACAACAAAACAAAACAAAACGATTGATGATAAACTTCTTGCAAGGGCAGGAAATAATTAAAGACATGGCCAGTCTGCAAAGGAATAGTTCTCTGGTACAAAGGGTGAGTTCAGCTTTCTTTATGAAGCAGAAAGAATACTGGAGTCAAAAGGCCCAGGTTCAAATCCCAGCTCTGCAATTTACTGCATGTGTGACTTCTGGTTAGTTGCTTCAGTTCTTTATCTATAAAATGAGGCATTTGTATTCAATGGCCTCTAGGGTCCTTTCTAGCTTTAAATCTATAAAGCTCTAATCTTTCCCTGAACCCTCAAGTCCACAGTGATTTTTCCATTCCTCCAAACTTATATGGTGCTTATTTTCTGCTCTACTCATTTAATAATAGCTAGCATTTCTGTAGCATTTAAGGCTGGAAAAACGCTTTATAGATATTATCTCATCCTCACAACAATCCTGGAAGGTAGTGCTATTATGATCCCTGTGTGGGACATGAAGACTCTTACCAATAAATTCTGGAGACTCAGATGTAGCAAAGAGAAAGATTTCTTTATTAGCCTTCTCGAGAAAGGGCACCCTCTGTCCACCTGAAATGGCTCTGGTGGAAGAGTGCAAGGGTGTGCTCAGCAAAGAAAGATGATATAGACCCTAACCCCAGCTACTCCTCCCTAACCCCCTTCCTCTCAGCTCATTGGTGCAAGCCCTGAGGGCACAATCTATTCCCGGAAATTCTACCCCAGCAACAGAGAACAAAGACAGTTTCACAAACCTGCCTGGAGACAAGGAAAGGCAGGAAGTTTTTGCAAGAGTAAGCAGTTTGGGAAGGGGGGGGGGGTCTGGTAAAGTACAGGATGTGTTGAAAAGCATGTTTCTTTACAAGATCAACCAGCTGCAAATGTCTCAACAGAATAAGAAACAATTAACTCTTTGAGGAAGCTTCACTCCTGAGAGATCCTCAGAGATCATCTCTTACAATCCCCATTTTACAGATAAGGAAACTGAGGCAGATAGCAGTTAAGTGACTTGCCCAGGGTCACATAGCTAGCAAATATCTGAAGCCAGATTTAAACTCATATCTGCCTGACTCTAGGCCCTTCACTCTATCCAAGGTGTTACCTACCTGTCTCATCTGCCACCTATTATATATTGCCTTCTCTTATTATTCAATTTATCATGTGCATATGTGACTCTCATCTTTCTAATCAGACTGGGTTTAGAGAGATGGATTTTCATGGGAAAATTCTAGCTCAGTATAAAGAAATCTAATCAAATACATTTGTGAATCAAGGAGCATTTGCTATGTATCCATTATGTGATAGGCACTGAGTCTAGAGATACAAAGACAAGAGGAAGCCCTATGCCTGCCCTCAAGGAGCTTATAGTCACTGAAAATCGAAATTATTTGTCTATATAGCTGATACTATTCTTATCATGAACCAGGGTTACAAAATGCCCAAGCATTCTTATAAATAAGAAAGAAGTGGATTGCCTCTCCTGTAAGCTCCCTAAGGAGGAGATCCTGTTTCACATACTTTTTTGTATCTTCCACAGTATAAAGCTATAGCCAAGATGAGTGCTTCATAAATATGTGTTCACTAAATGAATGACTCATACAGAAGGATTATGAAGCTAAGGTGGATTCTACAGGGAAAAGTGGATTGTTCTTTGGAAGCACCCTGTAACCTCTTGGGAACACTGGTATCCTCCAGGATGTGGAGCCCTTCTATTCATGTCAGTTTTGTTTTTGTTCTTCAGAGGGTGTTGTTCCCGGGCCACCTACTGACCTCTCTGTGACAGAAGCCACCAGAAGTTATGTTGTACTTAGCTGGAAGCCACCTGGTCAGCGTGGTCACGAAGGCATTATGTACTTTGTGGAAAAGGTAAAGCTGCAGTGTCAATCTTTACCCTAATGATATTTCCTAAGGCTTTCCCTAAGGAAAGAGTTTTCCAAACCTCAGGGTTTTCATTGTCTCACAGGCCATTAGCTGCCTGGCAAAGCCTTTCATTGGCTTTCCCCTTGTCTGTCTTTCCTTAGATCTGTATATTTTTAACTCTTCTGCCATAGACTTTGGGTGATTGAATCTATATCAGTAATAATAGATGAGCAAAAAGGAATACAGAATTAGGGTTAAAACAATGTTTAGTTTAGCTAAATAAGCATGACACAGACTCATATATACTTCGTGCCCAACATGATTCTAGGAGCTATAGGGAGAAATGGAAATTAAACTATATCCTTCCCCTCTCTAATTTATTCATTTAAATCTCCAACTATAAAACTTGTTCTTTTGTTGTCTGTGGTTGGTTAGCTCTCTAGATTAGAGCCCAACGTTAATGAGATCAGAGGCACAGGAGTTGTAATGGAAAGACCTTTGACTTGGGAGTCAAGAAACCTGGATTTGAATCTTGGTCTTGAAATGTATTTGCTGTGACCATGGAGAAGTTGCTTTACTTATTCCTGCTCACCTACATACAAATCTACTCAGTCACTAAGTACTATTACTTAGTGACTTAGCTTCTTCTAAATTATGCTTTTTAAAGAAATTCTAGGACAATCACTGTCCAGTTTTCTCCATCAGAAATATTAAGAGCACTCCCCAAGTTTCTATATAAAATCTGTTTTTAAAAAAAGCTGTGATGGGATGATTGGCAGGTTAAAACCCTAGTGAATAAATAATAAATTCTGTTCAAGAGAAAGGAAGAGAAATTTAATAAGCACCAGAACACAGAATAAGCATATGGAAAACTTCTATCCTCATTATAATAAGCACATGGAAAATGTCTTTCCTCATCATAAAAATATAAATACAATATAATACAATGTGATTCAAGAAGCATTTAATGAGCTCCACCCACATGTAGGGTACTGTGGTAGGTATTGGGGATACAAAGACAAATTGCTAATATAATTCTTACCATTAATTCTAAAGCTACAAAAGAGTTGGACATACCTGAAACTACCAAACAACAACAAGCTAGTGAAAATGATAACCAGAAATTTCCCAGCACAAAGTTGTTTCAAAAGTTCCCGTGAGTTCCTGGATGAATCCCTCTACTTCATCCAATAGGATATCTATTCCCAATGAGAAATGGGATAAACTAGTCTGTGGCTTATCCTGATAGTTGGGTCACAACAGATGTAGGAGACATGTCTACTGCTGGTGCAACCTCAGAGACCCTGGGAAATATTTCCCTAGTAGCCCCCATCACTGAAACATGTCCTATGTGACATGGTCCAGATCAGGGGGCTAGGAGCAAGTAACAAAAGAGGCAGGTAAATGACTTCCAAGGTTGGAAGTTGGAGCAGAGGTGAAACAGGAAGAGATGGAGGATAATGACTGTGTGATCCTGGGAAGACTATTGACTATACTGGAAATGTTCTAGTAATGGCAGTTGCTGGGGAAAAGTTACTCAGTGGAGGAGGTAAAAAATGTGGGCTCTGATACAAATGTGTATAGATGAGTTGGGGTTAGGGTTAGCAATGGCTGGGGATAATCTCTTGCTTTGATAGGCAGCCTTTGAGAAAGAAGAGTGAGGTAAATAACAGTTCTCTGGCCTCTTGTTCTCTGGCCTCTTCTTACAACAGCCAGTATGGTGAGGCTGTGACTGTTCTCTTTCTGTAGATATCATCAAGAAGAAGCTGGCCATGCTGAATGAAAGAAAAAAAGTCAGCTAAGGCACTTTCTGATGACAATTAGAAAAAGATTGAGGAGTGCAAGAAACAGAAATTAAAGAAAAGCATAGATGAGTTGGAATTATGGTTAGGAATGTCTAGGAGTAATCGCTTGTTCTGACAGACGGCCTTTGGAAAAAAAGATTGAGATAAATAATAGTTCATTTCATCATTGTGACTAATTGGTATAGGGAAGGGCAGCCAGTGGCATTCAAAGGTGGTAGGGGTAGGAGTGGGGAAAATGGGGAAAAGTAAGAAAAGTTAAGACTCATTACAAGAACTATGCTTTGAAGTATAAGGATAAAGTAAGAATAACATAGGATTCCTCCAATACTTCAAGGAGCCATGATTTCATTTAGGTACTCCCTTTGCCACTGCAGATTGCAACTCCTTCATGCCTTAGGAAGTGTCTCTGTGCATTGCAGTGGCCAAAAAGATTTATTATGTGATGGTCAATTTTCTAATGAAAAGTTTGTCCAAATTTAATTAGGTAGGTTCTCAGATAATAGACACCTAGTCCAGCACAGTTCCCAGACTTGATTCAATGAGCATTTATTAAGTACCAACTGTATGCCAGACTTGATGGCTTGTTCAGACCTACCAAATCTCGTACTTCATTAGCATAGCATTCAAAAACCTAGGGCCACCTCCAGGCCACAACTGAGGCATTGAAGTAGAGCTTTAGTTGAGAAATATAGGATTAATTTGAGGACATAACTTCACATGACACGTAGTATTTCATCTAGTACTTTTCATCTTGCTTTTTTTATTAGATTACTAATACTATCTTTTGTTTTTACATCACATGAATTTTTGAATATGTCCTCCCTCATCCCTTACCCTATGAACCATTCCTTGTAATCAATAATAAAAAAGAAAGGGGAAAAAAAACTAACCAACACATTAACCAACTATAACAGGGTATGCAGAGTTCCACATCTGTAGTTCTCCACCTCTGTAATGAAGTGAGTGAAGTACGCTTTCTCATCTATTCTTTGGGGCCAACTTTGGACATTTTAATCATGCAATTTTCAAATTTGTTTTTGTTTTTTTTCCACTTATGTTGTTTCTATTATTCTCAAAAAGCTCTATTTTATTGTTTTTGTTTTTGCCTTTCTTGATATGCTCAGTGCTTAACACAGTGCCTTGTACATGGTAGGTGTTTAATAAATGCTTGTTGACTTGTTGACTAACTGCCTTCCAGCGTATAGATATACATGGAACATTTCATTAGGGTGTACATTCAGGAAATTTTGTTATTTTAAGAAAGTGAACATTTATAGAAATGCAATCATAAAGTCCATTATTTTTATTGCTCAAACAAAGAAAATGGAATTTAACTAAACTCAATTTTTAAAAATAACCAAACTTTACCTTAAAAATACAAACTTTTAAAATGAGAAATAAAACATTCATTTTTTGAGAGATTAGTGTGTGCCTAGGTACACCTATACAACCTACATGCACACCTGTGCACTGATGCTTAGGTCAGGGTTGGTAATAAAAAATATTTTCATACAAGAACTACAATCCTAAAGAAATTCCAAAAATCTCAGACGAATCAGGACTGAGTGTCAATGGCTGCTGGGTGATGCTATCCACTCCCCCAAATCCTGTCCCCAGCCCAAGATTGTAGCTCTCAGGGTATTCCTATAGAGAACAAGCTTGGGAAATGTCTCCTCAAAGGGATTGTAAACTTCTGGAGTTTGTACAGTGTTTTCTCCAATTTCAATTCAATTCCACAAACATTCGCTAACATTTTCTATACTATTTCATCCCCTTTTGGGAGCTATTTCTTTATGGTAATTGCAGTCATGGAGAAGTAATAGCAAAGGAACAGGGGCAGGAATGAGCATGGCAGGTTTGGGGGACGCTCACATCTTACTACTCAAGGTGTCCCAAGATAGCTATGAGGCTGGTCTGACAGGAGCAAACGGTTTGTCTATCTTAGGGAATGGTGGAAAAGGTTGGATGCCAAAGGTGAAGCCAGGACTTCAAGTCATAAGATTATAGGATTTAGAACTGGAAAAGACCTTAGAAGTCATCTAATCTAACTCCCTCCCTCTTTTTATAGATGAGAAAACTAAGGTTAAAAGAGATTACCTGTACCAACAAAAGGAGTGTGAACTGGCTCTGACAGGCAATAAATAAGGAGGTATTTTAGGTCCTTGAGTGGGGTTAATGAAAATAGGACTTTGGGGGAAATGATGTTAAAAGTGTATAGAATGAATTGGCATATTTAGGAATCTGTAGGTAGGAAGACCAGTTAGGAATCTGGTGCTGTTGCTGTTGTGTTGTTTAATCATTTAGTCGTGTCCAACTCTTTGTGACCCTATTTGGGATCTTCATGGCAAAGAAATGGGAATGGTCTGTCATTTTCTTCTCCAGCTTATTTTATATATGAGGAAACTGAGGCCAACAGGGTTAAGTGACTTGACCAGGGTCACACGGCTAGTAAGTGTCTAAGCCTGGATTTGAACTCAGGAAGGTGAGTCCTCTTGATTACCGGCCTAGCACTCTATTCACTGTCAGCTTTATTCACAAGTCAGCTCTTAGGGATCTATTACAGTCATTTAAATCTGTGAGAACTCTAGTGGGTAGCAACAGTCTATGTGGGTGCTCTCTCCTTCACTGCCATACGCCTTCACATGCTAATGAAGATAAAACCTTAGGACCACAGGCTTCCTTTATTAACTCTTTTCTTTGGCAAGTACATCTTTCTTTTACCTTAACAATGGGGGGGGCACTCCATCACATACTGATATCAGTAGCTAATTACTTTCAAATTTGATGTAAGAATGTAAGAGTTCTGAAAAACCCCAGGGATGGTCATTGCTATTTTTTTTGTAATTATTGATATCTTTTGTGTTTATACCACCTCCAAATATATCTCTATGTCCTTTCCTTACTTCCCTTCCCAGAGAGCCATATCTCAATACAAAGAATAAAAGAAAAAAGTCAGGCCAGCAAAATTATCCAAAACATCAACAGAACAGGACAGTATATGTAATAGTCCACATCCATAGTCCCCCATCTTTATGAAGAAGAGAGAGAGGTGCATCTTCTCAAGTCTTCATCAGGCCAGACTTAAATGTTACACTTACACAGAGTTCAGTTTTTCTTCCTTTTTTCTTTTCTTCCTTCCTTCCTTCCTTCCTTCCTACTTTCCTTCCTTCCTTCCTTTCTTTCTTCCGTCTTTCTTTCTTT